ACTCTCTTCCTCTTTCCCCTATCCCCTTCTCCTAGTCCACTGAAAGGGGTAGTTTTCCTCCCTTGCCATCTGACCCTAGCTTATCACATCTCATTAGTACTGCCTGGATCCTTGTCCTCTGTGGGTTGACAAAGCCTCATCATCAGAAGGAATTGAGCAAAGAGCAGGTATCTGAGTTCATGACAGAGGCAGTATCTGTTCTCCTTACTCAGGCACCTACATGGGGACTGAGCTACCTATGGGCTATGTTTGAGCAAGGGCGTCTATGTCCGCTCGATGCATGGTCCTTGCTTGGTGCATTACTCTCTGCAGGACTCCCTTGCATCAGAAATTTTAGCTTTGCTGGTCTACTTGTAGGCCTCCTGCCCCCTTTTTGTCTTCTATACACCCTTCTTTTATAAGATTCCCAGCTCTCTGTCCAAAGTTTGGCTGTGAGTTTCAGCATCTGCTTCAAATCCCTCTTGAGTAGTCCCAGTGGAGTAGGCTCCCATTCTATTCCCTCTCTTCCACCGCTTCTAGTTGTCTATCCTATTTGCCATTCTGAATGACATTTAAACATCCTCCCTAAGGTCCTTCTTTTTGTTTAGCTTCTGTTAGTCTGTAGATTTTAGTAATATCTGCTTATAAGTGAGAGTATACCATGATTGTCTCTCTGGTTTTGGATTAACTCACTCAGGACGATCTTTTCTAGATCCATCCATCTGCGAGCAAAATTCATTATTTCCTTGTCTTTAATAGCTGAGTAGTATTCCATCGTGTACCACAATTTCTTTATCCATTCTTCTTGAGGGACTTCCAAGTTGTTTTCAGATTCTGGCTATTAAAATAGTGATGCTATGAACACAGTTGAGCAAATGTCAAGATTCTTAATGAATATATTGACACAGTTGGAGCATATTTTGGGTACATGCCCAGGAGTGGAATTGCTGGATCTTCAGGTAGCACTATTCCTAATTTCCTAATAAAACTCCAGACTGATTTCCAAAATGCGCAAGTTTCCGAGAATAAGAGATTTAAATATGAAGCCATAAGTGAGATATGTGTATCTATTTCTGTCCTCCCCATCTTACAGATCATTGTAAAAGAGGAGGATGGAGTGCCTAAGCCATAGACTGCTGATGGCTATTAAGAACAAATATTTCTGTAGGTGTGTAGGTTTATTTCTAGATCCCTGATTCCATTCCATTGATCCACCAGTCTGTTTCTATGTCAGTACCATGTTGCTTTTATTATTGTTGCTCTATAGTACAGCTTGAAACACTTAAGACAATGAAGCCAAAACCATACAATAAAAAAAAAAAAAAAAGATAGCATCTTCAACAAATGGTGCTGGTCTAACTGGATATCTACATGTAGAAAAATGCAAATATATCTATATTTATCACCTTGCACAAAAGTAAAGTCCAAGTGGATCAAAGTCCTCAATATAAAGCCTGACACACTAAATCTCTTAGAAGAAAAATCAGGGAAGAACCATGACTTCATCGACACAGGAGACAACTTCCTGAACAGAACATAAACAACACAGGCTCTAATAGCAATAATCTGATAGAAGGCTAATATCCAGAATATATAAAGAAATTCAAGAAGTTAAACACGGACAAACCAAGAAATCCAATTTGAAAAATGTGGTGCAGAGCTAAACAGTATCAACAGAGGAATATGAAGTGGCAGAGAAACACTTAAAGAAATGCTCAACACCCTTAGTCAGCAGGAAAGTTATACATTGTTATGAAATTTTCAGAGAAAAGGATTGACAAAGTAATTAAAATAACAACTAAAAATTTAAAATTTTTCCCATAGTAAGCACTATTTAATTAGTGCTCTAGGAACTCACCGAAGGCTGAAGAGATGTTTTTTGAAGAATGCAGCATCAGCCCTGCAACCAGGATGCAATAGTGAGGTCATTACTTTCAATATGCTAAGCCACTATGTCCCATATTTTCTGAGAAATAGACCTAGCCAGGCAATTAGGAAGAACTCCAAAGCAGTTTTGGTGTTCTTAGACACAAGGGGACTCTTATGCATATTTTTACTTTACTTCATTAAGAATATTGACTTATTTTAACTAGATAAACTTATAAATATTCTTCAAAAAACATCAAATTATATTTCTACTTTCATAATAATAAATATCACTACTTTTAAATAAAAAAATCTATAACTTTTTGTTTCTGAATAGCAAGTTACATAAGTTACATCGGGGGGTGTGTGTGTGTGTGTGTGTGTGTGTGTGTGTGTGTGTGTCCTTTGCTTACCATTTCAGGGTCCTATGTCACCCACCGTTATCTAATTGGCTTCGGGAGTCTCTAAAACACTAGGATTCCATAAATACATTTAGAAATTGAATTCATTTTTATAGGCATTGGAGAGTTTTAACATACATTTTGTTCATTCAGTTGAAGTACAGATAAGTGGTATCATAATATCTTTTGCTTTACACCATGGAAAGAAATTTTGCAATGAGTTTACAAAATTTTGCTACAACGCAATAAATATCTATTGTTGAAAAATCCTCTTATCTAACAATTTTCTTATTTACTACACAGAAATTAAAGGTGTGCATTTCTATCTTACTGTTTCTATTGCTATGATAAAACACCATGCAATTTGGGGAGGGAAAAAAAGTTTAATATTACATCTCTTAGATCACACTCCTAAAACTGAGAGAAGTTGGGAGAAGAACCAAATGTGGCTCCCTGGATAGGAAAACTGAAGCAGAGACCATGGAGGAACACTGCTTATTGTGTTGTTCCCTTTGTCTTACTTTCTTACACAGCTTGGAACCACCTAAGAAGAGGTAGCACTGCCTGCTGCATGGAGATGTGTCTACAAACATCAGTCAGGAAAAAGCCTCACAGATCAATCAAGTGTCAGAATTTTCCCTACTGAAGATCTCTCTTCCCAAAGGACTCTAGCTTGATCAAGTTGGCTGAAAGTTAGTGCAATTTTAAGAAGTTACATATATATGCATATGTATATACTGAATATATATCCAGTTCTGCTTATATCTTTATATGTTTGAAAGCCTTTCACTTAATTTTATTGTTCTGTTACAAATATTTAACTTCACAATATTATGATAAAAAGATAATTCTGAATGTTGAATGCACAAAAATGGACATTTCTTTGTGACTATAATGGAATTAATTATATATTTATACGTAATATAGATATGTGATCATAAACACTTATGACATATTATTTTTTCTTTTTTTAATTTTTTATTATTAGTTCCATTTTGTTAACTCTGTATCCAAGCTGTATACAGCTCCCTCATTCCCTCCCAATCCCACCCTCCTTCCCTCATCTCCTCCCTGCCCCCTTCCAAGTCCACTGATTCGGGAGGACCTATTATTATTTAATCAATTCAAATGGCTGTACTGTCAACTTTCTGTAGCTTTTTGTTTCATTTTAAATTTATAAAATAATTTTTAAAATTATTTGTATTTGCTCTATATTTTTTAACTTATTTGTTGTTTGTGAATTTCACATAATGGGGCCCATTCCCACTAATCAACCCCTCCTCTTATACCCACTCTCCACCTTTGAAAATTCCACCACAACAGAGCTGTAGTGTGTCACAATGTGTCCCAAAAAGTACCCTGTTACCCACACTTCCTTGCTTGTAAATATTTACTGCAATGACTTGTTTGTCTAGTATGAGGCCTCTGGCTTCTGCTTCTCTGTCAATACTACAACCTCACTGGGACTCCTGTCAAATATTGTATTGTTGCTTTATCTCATGAAGATCCTGTAGTTTTGGATCTGTAGAACCTGCCCCTTCATGCATTCCAGCAGCTCATCATGAGTGAGATGATTTAGTGTGCCAATTAAAAGCCCCAATTCAGGGTCTGAGAGATATCTGAGCTGGTCACTCCTCAGATTTCTTGCTCTCACAGCTTTTTGGCCAGCTCCTTAACACTCACTCCACCAATGTCAGCTCTATTGTGCTTTCCTAAGTTTTGGTGCAGGTGAGGAGCAGGGTCAGCTCTCTTGCTCTCCTGACCCCAGTGTCACAACTCCTTCCTACCACAGGTGGTGAGGAGAGAGCAAGGAGGAGAATATTTCTCTCTCATCCATGTCACTGCACAGTATCCTTGGGGGCCAACAGACACACAACTCCCTCAATGTGAGTGGCCTGGTCTTCTTAGTACTACATCTCACTAAGGGTGGGGTTAGCTCTCCTGATGCCATGCCTCCAGTGCCAGCTCTTCCACAATGACCAGGTGAGGAGTGCAGTCAGTTCTGCACAGCCCTCAGATATCAGTATGTTCCTGTGAAGAGGCCCAGACCAGAGATGTCTGTCTGGCCTTTGGTGTTAAAGGACACCTGTTGCTGCAGAGCCATGGAACCAAACATATCCCCCAATGGCAGCACAGACAGGAACACATCATGTTGCCAAGTGACATCACTGGCTACTAACATCAAGCTGTTCTTCACTACCCTCTAGTCACCAGCTGTGCCTCTCTTAATTGAACCTATATTTTTTGTTCTTCTTTCCTTTTCATTTCTTTGCCACTTACTTGTCCTCTTAGTGCTACCCAGGGTCTTTTAGTGTCTAGGATCATCTCAAGAGTCAGGGATTGCTATAATTCCCTGCTCTTACTCTTGGTCTGGATAGGGTTCATCTCAAGCATTATATGACCTCTCAAGGCCTGCAAAGTGCTTGAAAAGTCCTCTCAGGCTAGCTACCTGTCCAGTCCCAATGGTGCCAGTTTGGTGGTCATCACTAGCTTTCTCTTTGCCCAGACTGTTGCATGACTCCATGTGAGGATCCTCTGTCTTAGGTGTATTCTTTCTCAAGGCACTCAGTACCAGGCAAGGTTCTTCTGGTCTTCGACTTGCTCTTGGTCCTGGGAGCTGTCTAGCCTGTGCAGTGCCCAAATGATGGTCATCTCAAGCTAGCTTCTTGTCAGAGCCCCTAGTACTAGATTGGTTGTCATCACGGGTTAAGGTTTTTTTTTGTTTGTTTGTTTGTTTTGTTTTGTTCTTCAGGGAATGTTAAACTACTAATCATTCAACTCTTAATAGGTCAGAAAACTGAGCATAGCCACAAACTCACTCCTCTGTGCCACCAACTCATGCACATGTGACATAGCAGCCTTACCAGCAACCAACACTTCTACAGTCAGGTCCCTGTCATTTTCTATCAGCCATCACTCTTGTATTTTATGTCTAGATATTTTCTTAATTCCTACTTTAACTTATTTAAAATTCCCACATAGATGGATTTTTTTTTCACATTCTGTGCTAGTTAGAATGAGTAATTTAAAAAAATAATTATGGATAATTAAAATTCTATAATTTTAATGTATCTGAGTCATGTTGTTCTGTTCTTAATAAACTGAACTTGAGTTTAAACCTCTTATCCATCTATTTTTAAATATAGCAGTTTTTCCATTATTTGAGTTTATATTTGAGAGATATTTTGGATTTATAAAAAGCTAGAGCATATATTATGGACAGTTCAACATACCAAAGGTTATTCTTCCTAATAATATCTTTGTTTTTCATCATATTTATTACGATTAAGGTGAGAGTATTTACAGGTTCCTCTAATTGAATATATATGATAACTTTCACATCACAAAAAGGATAGTTGGCTTTGGAGTTGACAATCACATGTAGACATAGCCACTTCAAACACATTATATGCAGGAGACATTCCTTCATAGCTTTTACACTGTGGATGCTAACTTTGGTTGTCTTAGAGAAGTGTTCTTTTCTTGTTTTCCAGGGATGATTAGTGTCTCTTTTTCACACTGTTTCTTTGAATGGAAGCCATCATGTACAGCAAAGATAAGTAGTGTGGGATGGAGTCAACCATGGGGGCAATATATTTACATTGTAAAAATGTAAATCATCAGGGCATGGTTCACAAGTCTTTGATCTAGGCACTCGATGCAGAGGATACATGTGTTTGAATACAGACTGCATAGGCTACATAGAAAATCTGGGTCAGCCAGTGCTGTATATTGAGACCATGCCTCAAATGAGAAAAAATAAGAAAGAAATATAATCTATGTATATCATGAAATCTGATTTTCTAGTAGTTATTTTTCTCAAGATGTTAGCAAAATGATAACTTTTTGGACTTTTCAAAATGCAAGCCAAGCCACAGAGGAGGACAATGCAGCCAGTTCAGATGAGACCAGACAAGTGAGGGTCAGATGGAAGGGAAGGAGGACTTCCCATATCAGTGGACATGGAGAGGGGCATAGGCAAAGAGGAGGAAGGTAGGGTGGAATTGGGAAGGGGTAGGAAGGGAGCTACAGATGGGATACAAAGTGAATAAACTGTAATTATTATAAAAATAAAATTTTAATTAAAAATATAAGTTTAAAAACAGTTTCCTGCACTTAGTCCAAAGTTTGGCTATAAGTCTCAGCATATGCTTTGATACCCTGCAGGGTATCAAAGAACTCAACATAAAACCAGACACACTAAACCACTTAGAAGAAAAAGTGGGGAACACCCTTGAACTCATTGGCAAAGGAGACAACTTCCTGAACAGAACACCAACAGTACAGGCTCTAAGAGCAATAATCAATAAATAAGACCTCATGAAACTGAAAAGCATCTGTAAAGCAAAGGACGCTGTCGTCAGAACAAAACGACAGCCTACAGATTGGGAAAGGATCTTCACCAACCCTATATCTGACAGAAGGCTAATATCAAGTATATATACAGAACTAAAGAGGCTAAACAGCAAAAAAATCAAGTAATCCAATTAAAAAATGGGGTACAGAACTAAACAGAGAATTCTCTGCAGAGGAATATCGAATGGCAGAGAAACACTTAACGAAATGCTCAACCTCATTAACCATCAGGGAAATGCAAAGCAAAACGACCCTAAGATTTCACCTTACACCCAAAGATAAAAAAACTCAAAAGACAACACAGGCTGGAGAGGTTGTGCAGAAAGGGGAACCCTCCTCCACTGCTGGTGGGAATGTAAACTTGTACAACCACTCTTGAAAGCAATCTGGTGTTTTCTCAGACAAGTAGGAATAGCACTTCCTCAAGATCCAACTATACCACTCCTAGGCATTTACCCAAAAGATTCTCAAGTACACAATAAGGACATTTGCTCAACCATGTTTGTAGCATCCTTATTTGTAATAGCCAGAAGCTGGAAACAGCCCAGATGCCCCTCAGTGGATGAATGGATGCACAAATTGTGGTATATCTACACAATGGAATATTACTCAGCAATAAAAAAAAAAAAAAAAAAAAAACAAGGAAATCCTGAAATTTGCAGGTAAATGGTGGGATCTGTTAAAGAACATCCTGAGTGAGCTATCCCAGAAGCAGAAAGATGCACACGGTATATACTCACTCATATAGACATATAATATAGGATAAACCTACTAAAATCTGTACACCTGAAGAAACTAATCAAGAGGAAGGACTCTTGCTAAAATGTTCAAATCCTATCCAGAAAGGCAAAGAGGCTGGACATCAGAAGAAGGAGAAAAGAGGGAACAAGTCAGGAGCCTGACACAGAGGACCTCTGAAAGGCTCTGCCCTGCAGACTATCAATGTAGATGCTGAGACTTATGGGCAACTTTTGGGCAGAGTGCAGGGAATCTTATGAAAGAAGTGGGAAGCAATAAGATCTGGAGAGGACAGGAATTCCACAAGGAGAGCAACAGAACCAAAAAATCTGAGCACAGGGGTCTTTCCTGAGACTGATATTACAACCAGGGACTATGCATGGAGATAACCTAAGACCCCTGTACAGATGTAGCCCATGGCAGTTCAGTATCTAAGTGGGTTCCATTGAAATAAGAGGGACTGTCTCTGACATGAACTGATTGGCCTGCTCTTTAATTACCTCCCCCTGAGGGGGAAGCAGCATTACCAGGCCACAGAAGAGGACAAGGCAGCCACTCCTGATGAGACCTAATTGACTAGGGTCAGAAGGAAGGAAAAGAAGTCCTCCCCTATCAGTGGACTTGAGGAGGGGCATGCATGCAGAGGATGGAGGAAGGGAGGGATTGGGACAGGAGGAGGGAGAGAATCACAGGAGGGATACAAAGTGAATAAATTTAATTATAAAGAAAAAAATTCTTACTGGACATCAAAGCAGATACTGAGTCACATAACCAAACTTTGCGCAGAGTACAGGGAATCTTAGTGAAAAAGGGGAGATAGTAAGACCTGGAGAAGACAGGAGCTCTGCAAGGAGAGCAAGAACCAAAATATCTGGGCACAGGGGGCTTTTCTGATTCTGATACTCCAACCGAGGACCATTTATAGATATAACCTAGAACCCTTGATCAGATGTAGCCCATGGAAACTCAGTATCCAAGTGAGTAAAGGGAACAGGGACTGTCTCTGACATGAACTCAGTGTCTAGCTCTTTGATTGCCTCCCACTGATGGGGGAGCAACCTTGCCAAGCCACAGAGGAGGAAAATGCAGCCAGTTCAGATGAGAACTGATAAGCTAGGTTCAGATGGATGGTAAGGGAGACCTTCCCTATCAGTAGACTTAAAGAGGGGCATGGGAGGATATGAACGAGTCAGTTTGGGATTGGGAAGGAATGGGAGAGAGGGCTACAGCTGGGATACAAAGTGAATAAAGTCTAATTAATGTAAAAAATTAATTAAAATACTTTTTTTCAAATCTAATTTTAAATAAAATATGAATTTCAGGGTAACAAACATTTAATTTGTGAGTTTTCATGTTTAGAACTCAACACAGTTTACACTGTCACTAGCAGTAAATAAGTGTTCCTTTTTTATCACATCCCTACCAGCAATTGCTGTCATTTTTTTGTTTTTTTGTAATTGTTTTTTTATTTATCATTCTTATTAGGAATAAGGTAAACTCTAAAATTAGTGTTAATATTTATTTCCATAAATGCTTAGTTAGTTGTATTTTTTCTGAACTCTGTTTAATGCCTTGCCGCATCTTGTAAAAGAGTTCTTTATTTTCTTATTTATTTATTTATTTATTTATTTATTTAGTATTATTTTTTTAATTTTATTTTTTTCTTATCAGTTACATTTTATTAACTCTGTATCCCAGCTGTATTGTGCTCCCTCATTCCCTCCCACTCCCACCCTCCCTCCCTCATCTCCACCCTGCCCCTTTCCAAGTCCACTGATAGGGAGTGACCTCCTCCCCATTCATCTGATCCTGTTTGATCAGTTATCTTCAGGACTGGCTGCAAAGTCCTCCTCTGTGGCCTAACAGGACTGCTCTTCCCTTGAGGGGTGGGGAGGTCAAAGAGCCAGCCGTAACCTTGTTCCCCTTACTATGGGAAACCAATTGGTTACTGAGCTAACATGGGCTACATCAGAGCAGAGGTTCTAGGTTATATAGATACATGGTCTTGGGTTGAATGTCAGTCTCAGAAAAGACCCTGTGCCCACATATATTTGGTCCTTGTGGAGCCCCTATCCCTTCCCCATCATACTAACTCCCCTTCTTTCCTATGATTCCATATACTCGCCAAAGGTTTGGTTATGAGTCTTTGTATCTGCTTTGAAAACATTGCTAGTTAGAGTCTTTCAGATGCCTTCAGAAGACTCCTGTCATACGTTCAATGCACATCCCATCTGTCTTTCTATATGAGGATTGATCATCTTACCCCATGTCTGCTCTCTTGATTATCTTTTTTATGTGTATAGATTTCATTATGTTTATCATATAGTATAGGTCTATATAAGCGAGTATATACCGTGTTTGTCTTTCTCCTTCTGGGATATTTCACTCAGAATGATCTTTTCTAAATCCCACTATTTGCCTGCAAATTTCATGATTTCCTCCTTTTTGATTGCTGAGTAGAATTCCATAGTGTAAAAATACCACAATTTCTGTATCCATTCCTCTGTTGATGGACATCTGGGTTGTTTCCAGATTATGGCTATTACAAATGAAGCTGCTATAAACATGGTTGAGCAAGTATCTCTTTTATGTACTTGAGCAAATTTTGGGTATATATCTAGCAGTGGTATAGGTAGGTCTTGAGGAAGCACTATTCCTAATTGTCTGAGAAAGCGCCCTATAGATTTCCAAAGGGGTTGTACCAGTTTACATTCCCACCAACAGTGGAGTAGGGTTTCCGTTTATCCACAACCTCTCCAGTAGGTGTTGTCACTTGAGTTTTTCAGCTTGGCCATT